TTGGCACTTTAGGCGCGTGTGCGAAGCGGGGCAGGGAGAAGGACCTGGACTGGTGCGCGGGAAGCAGAGCAGGGAGAAGAACCCGGAAGAGCCCCTGGGCAAGGACTGGGACTCTCCCACTGGCTCGGTCGGCCATCTTAGGACGCAGATTTCTCTTATCAAGATGAGGTCCAGAGGGGACAGGGCACGTATCTCAGCAGGAAAGAGACAGCACATTCACATGGGGTCATCAGGGACTATTTACAAAGGCTGAAAGGCTACTCTAAGGATAGTGCAAGGCCAATGACACAGACACTCTCACCGCTCCTAGGCCCAGAGAATGAGGGGAGGCGGTCACTTTGAGAATGAGGGGAGCTGTGACTGTGGCCGGCAGAGGGGAAAAGATCAGTGAGGGGCAGGAACAAAGTCCCCTGACCTCCCACTCCCCCCCACCCCTCACCTTCTGCTAGTGTCTCCCATCTGACCCGGAGTCAAGGGAGCCCAGTGATAAGCCCCCAAGGGCAGCCTCCTGGGCTGTAGAGCACGAGAAAGGGAGAATGGATCTGGAAGAGCTGACAGGAGCCGTGAAGCACGGGGAAGGGTGAGGGGCTTGGTACTAGCATTCAAGAAACAGGATATCTGGCTTCCATATTCACCACCTCAAACACCTGCTGTGGATCTGCACTTCCTACAGAATAAGGCCCAAGTTAGCCCAGCATTCAAGGCTCTTTCCATGCAGGTTCCAACCTACCTCCCTAATGGGAAAGCTACTAGCGCCCCATGTAATCTAGCCGCACAACAACTCTGTGTACGGTAAGTCTTATCATGATGAACCTTTTATAAAGAAACCAAGTTTGCCCAGATGACACAGCTGGCAAGTGATGGAGCTGGAGTATGAGCCCAGGTCCCCTGATGCCAAAGCCGATGCTGATGTGTTCTGCCATCCTGCGTCCTCACTGGGTGATAAGTGCACGGACTGCTTGCTGGACGGTACTCGGCTCGTCCCAACCCTGCCTGCCTCACTGAAAGGGTCCCGATAAAGCGAGGGGCTGGAGAAAGGAACATGGAAGGTGGGCATAATGCATGCGGGCCCCTAGGTTCTCACTTCCCTCTCCTAACAATCCTCCGGGGCAGGAACCGTCCTCCTTGTTTGGACTTGAGACGCTTTTATGTCAGCAAGCTCAAGGTACTCAGCTGTGGTCCCAGAGCAGTTACTGTCAGGGCCGGGGTTGGACTCCAAGATGAGCTGGCTGCCTGGCAGACAGAGCTGGCCCTCTGCAGAGCCTCAATTCCTTCCTTCCACGCCGACCCACTAGTGAGCTTCCTCCCTGAGCACCTACAGTCAGGCCTCTTCTAGTCAGGACTGTGGGGTTACGCACATTTGTGGAAGGCCGCTGGTAGAATGAAAAGATGTTACTGGAAAGAGAAGCATACCAGGCCAGTGGCATCAGGCCATGTTTAGGGTTATCAAATGGTGTGAGAGAGATTTGAAGGGCCCAGGTGCCCAGATGCCACCATTAGAGCTCAATTCCTTCGTCTCTGTTGGCTGAATGAAAGCACAGTGCTGAAAAGAATGTGACGCCAGAGGGGGGAGACTTGCTGGGAACAATAAGGATGAAGGTCTGGAGTCAGTGAAGGCAGGCCCGGTGGGTCACCTGTGAGGGAGGTGTCCTGGCGGACAGCACAGACATGCAGCACAGTGCGGTGACAAGAGGATTCGAGAGATGTGGGCTTTAGCTCAGGGTGGTGTGCAGCACTGCCGTGTGTCTCCAGGCAGGTTACTGGCCTTCCCTCCCCAGAACTTCCCTTTCCCCCTGTAAAAGGAGGGGCTGCACGAAATGTTTATACCCTGGTCCAAGACTCGGCAGCCCCACGAGAGGCCTCCTTTACCTTTTTTTTTTTTTTTAAAGATTTTATTTATTTATTTGACAGAGAAAGACACAGCGAGAGAGGGAACACAAACAGGGAGTGGGAGAGGGAGAAGCAGACTCCCTGCCGAGCAGGGAGCCCAATGCGGGACTCGATCCAGGGACTCCAGGATCATGACCTGAGCCGAAGGCAGTCGCTTAACCAACTGAGCCACCCAGGCGCCCCTCCTTTACCTTTTGTTAATTGCTGAGTCCCCAGCGAGGGGGGCTCCTCCTTTTCACGCTTCCCACTCCAGCTGGGGCCGAATCATGAGGGTTGCAGAGGACACCGCGGGGATGAGCCCTGAGGGACCCCTCCACAGGGGTCCATGATCAGGTGCTCAGAGGAGGCCTGTCTGCTGATTCTGTTGTCTCCCATCAGCACAGTTAATGTGCCACTGTTCCTGGCAGATGACAGCAACTGAAGCAAAGCAATTAGTGTGAAAAAGAGGCCCAGCTGCTTGGGGCCAAAGGAAAATAAACAGACGGCCCTGTGCGTATTCCACCGCCAAGAGGAGTGATTCTTCATAGGGTGATTAGCACTTCCAACTCCAGTCTCCTCCCCTGTACTGGAGGCAGAGAAGTGACCTATGAGCTGCTGTGTTCTCAGATCCTACTCTTCCCTGGAAGTACTATGGACCCCCAGAGCTCATCACCTCCCCCTGAAAGTCTTCCCTGATCACCTGCCCAGCCCCACCCCTTGCCCGAAATGATACCCCTCTCCTCTGAAATCTGACAGCCTCAATGAATTTTTCCTCTGATAGATCATTCATTCATTCTTTCTTTTGACATCACTGAGCACCATTCATTATTAAATAATTAAGCCTCAGGACACCTGGGTGGCTCAGTTGGTTAAGCATCTGCCTTAGGCTCAGGTCATGATCCCAGGGTCCTGGGATGGAGCCCCACCTCATTGGGTTCCCTGATCAGCGGGGAGGGAGGCTGCTTCTCCCTCTGCCTGCTGCTGCACCCTGCTTGTGCTCTCTGTGTCAAATAAGTAAAATCTTTTTAAAAAATAAATAATTCAGCCCCTACTATGTTCCAGTCACTGTTCTGGGTCCTGGTAAACAGACAAAAATTTCTGCCTTTGTGAAGCTCAAGTTTTAGTGAAAGAAATAGACACTAAAGAAGGATAGCATGGTAGATGATGCTAGATGCTATGGAGAAAAATAAGGGAGTAGGAACTGCAAAGAAGGGGAAGGTAGATTTTAAGGGGGAGGGGGGTCAGGAAAGTCCTCAGAATGAAAGTGACATCTGAGCAAAGGCCTGTAGGAGGTGGGCAGTCAGCCAGGGGGCTAAATGAGGGAGGTGTGCCTGGCACACCTCGTCCTGAGATTGGAGTGTGCTTGGTGTGTTTGAAGAACAGCAATGAGGCCAGGGGGAGAGTGGTAAGAGATGAACTGAGGGAGGGGATCTTGAAAGGACTTGGGCTTTCACTCGAGTGAAATGAGGAACCACCAAGGCTCTGAATGGAGAAGCAATGAGGTCTGGCTGGCATTTCGTTAGGATGGTTCTGGCTGCCGCACGAGCAGACTAAAGGGAAGCAAACAGGGAAGCAGGCCCTGGGTGGAGTGTGGGAAGTTCTGGCTTCTCCTTCTGCCTCTGTCAGGCAGGCTATATAACAACAGGATAATTTCCAGGGATAGGAAAGCTTGGGGCACAAGGCTTCCAGAGTCAGGGTCAAGGAGAAATTGTGTGGAGGACTGGAGAGAGCTCCAGAGAGTTGGGCTGCAGGGCCGCCATGGAGGCTCAGGAAAATGTTCCTTGCTGTGTTGGGCTGGGACGGAGAGATTTTTAAACCTTGCCTTCTGGGCTTAGTAACCCCTAAGTGTCTCTGTGTATTTGTGCCCCCCCCCCCCCCGCCTCGTACCTGGTTTGGCCTCCCAAACGGCACCTTCCACTCAGTGGTCAAGTCTAGGTGCCAGGGTATGAGAAGCTGAGAATCCCAAGTCCTGGTTCCAGGTCCTTGCTCTTCCACTTGACTGGCTATGTGACGTTGGGTGACTCGTTTCAGCTTTCTGCTGGTTTCCTCACCTGCAAACAGACATGGTGACCACCCTTGCCGAGGATGGTGGGCTGTGGGAGGAACCACAGAGCCTGACCTGGGAGGCCAGAGAAGGTAGGCTGTATTATGAAAACCTCCCCTACACTTCGTGAGAGGGAGGAAAGTGTGTGAAAGTGCAAACCCTCCTCAGGGCCTTCATAAGTCATTAGCACCCTCAGGAAGCTGGCCATTAGAGTCCCAGCTAGATTCTAAGTCAAGAGAACCCAGGACAACTAATTTTCCTATCACAGGGGGAGGGAAAGGGCTGGGTTTAGGGGAACAGGTGAACCCCAAGAAGAGGTGGTGCAGAGAGAAGAGTAACAGGGAGGGGAGTGTTAAGGAGACTGGCAGAAACACCCTGTCCATCTCCGAATGTTAGCGAAGCAGGGAGGCAGCCCCAGAAAACAAGCATGTGGCCCTGGGTTCAAGGCTGGGGCTCTGCTACTTCCTACTTGTGCCTCTTCCCATCACATGACCTTTGGGAGTTTGGGTTTTTTTTAATCTTCAAGGGTAGGGGTTTTGCCAGGCTGCCTACCACTTAAAATTCTTACAGAGCTTAAATAAGTCAACTGTGGGAAAACACATTGTGAAGAGTGTTATTATTATGCACAAAAGACATCTCAGCCAAGGCTGCTCTGGACCAGGGAATATCACCACCGCAGCAGCCAGTGGGCCGTCTGGGCAGCTCCACACGGCCAGCTGCAAAAGCTGACATGCACAAAGCTCTGTGGGTTATGAGAACAGATGAGCTGATGAGTTTCAAATTGCAAATCTCAGGGTTGAGCACTAGGCAGGACGAGTGAGCAAGGAAGAGAGTGCTCTGAACTGTTAAGAAAAATTATCCAGGGGCGCCTGTGTGGCTCAGTCGTTAAGCATCTGCCTTCGGCTCGGGTCATGGTCCCAGGGTCCTGGGATCGAGTCCCGCATCGGGCTCCCTGGTCAGGGGGAGCCTGCTTCTCCCTCTCCCACCCCCCCTGCTTGTGTTCCCTCTCTCGCTGTGTCTCTGTCAAATAAATAAATAAAATCTTTTTTTAAAAAAAGAAAAATTATCCGTAACTTGGGCATAGGCGGAAGAACTGCCTGTCTTTTCAGTATCATTGTGGGGCAAGGTTGAACAGCTAAGAGTTATTTAATTCTCTCTGGAAAAATTAAATACCTATTTTACAATTTACTATTGACTCGAGTCCTAACTTTGTGAAGCCACATGCTCACTCGTAGCTGCGTGTATAAATAGGTATGTGCATGCATGTGAAGATGCAAAGGTCTCTAGTCCAGTACAGAACCACAAAAGTTATGGTTTTATTGTCCTGTAAATTAACCAGCTTCACCTCTTATCTTAGCAAACTTATTTCAGTAGGTCTTTTCCAACTAAAGACACAAATCTCTCAAATGTTCCTCTGAACCAGCTTTCCATTCTTCTGGTTCCTTTGTTAACGAGTTAAATAAACCTTTGACATGTGATAACAATTATACTTTGATGGAATCAAAAAGTGAGGGACTCTGTTGTGCTTTGGCATGGGGACGGTGGCTTTGGGCACATCGGTTGGCCTCTGGGCCTCACGTATCTCACGTGTCTGCCATGGAGAGAAGGTACCGAACTACCAGGAGTGAGGTAGGGCTGGAGCGGGAAGACGGATGTGAAAGTACTTTGCACATTATTCACAGGATGCCAAAGTCAGGATTTATTGCTGTGATTTAGGCTACTCCAGAGCTAGCAGATGCTGGGTTTCTGAGGGCAGCAGTCTGCAGGGCTTGGGACATAGGTCAGGGCAAAAGAGAGCTAGGGGCAGCCCTGACACTAGGCTCCATGCTGATGCTGCATTCTATACTTCTGACGAGGCTAGGATTTCCCACGGGCCTCAGGTCTTGGAGGATGGAAACCATCTGGGACACTCAGGGCATGGAGAAGCTGAAGGACTAGGGTAGGCATGTGACCAGAAATCAGGATGGAGTATTCTAAAGGAGGGACAAGAGTCCTCCTCTTATACCAGGTCCGTAAGTAGGACAGCCTCTACGGCCTGGCTTGTTTCAGGACCTCATCATTTGATTCTGTAGGTGGGGAAGTGCCCAGGTCAGTTGATAACACAGCAGGATCTCTGCCCTTGCTATCTGCACACGTGCACAGTTTCACACATATGCAGAACGATGTCAGCCAGGGGTCCAATGAGCAATGCAGATGCCAAGGTCAGGAACAGCCAACCCTGCACAGAGGAGGTGGGTAGAGCCAATAGAGGGGCGGGGGGAGAGGAAAGGCATTCCATGCCCAAAGAATGGCAGGAGCAGAGGCTTGGAGGAGAGCATTAACCTGCAGAATGAGGAGGAGGAGGCAGTTAGACCTGGCCAGGACTGGGCTCCTGCCTCCAGTGACCTAAAATCATGGAAGTTAATAATCCACCACCCACAGGGTGATGGCCAAAAAGGGAGTGGGCAAGGGCTTGCAACTGAGTTCTCCCCTGCCGGTCCGCATCCTGTGAGGGGGTGTGGGGAGCCCTTTCTCTCTCACAGGAGTCATTCCAGATTCAGCTCAGTTATTGTCTGTACAAGCCATGCCAGCCTCCCCGCCCCCCCACCCTGCCCAAATGCCTCCATCCAGAGCTGTTCTGCCTTAAAGGCTGGGCTTGCAGAGCCTCTTCCCATCTGTTCCAGCTTTCCCCCATCTCCTCTTCTGAGCTCTGTCTCCACCATCTGAACCTCCCCTGCAGCAGCTAATTATCCTGCCTGTCTTCTTCATACACCCAGTATACTATCTATCCTCCTTCCTGGAGTTACGTATTTTTCCTCTCCCTATTTTCCCTTTGCTCTGATTTCTTCAATACTGTTTTATTCCATTGTGAGTTTTTTGTTTTGCATGTTGCCTTTAGCCCTCAGTGGATCAAGACAAGCGTGCGTAAACCTTTGTCTTGGGCTAGACTCTAGGCTTTCTGGACCCCTCTAGCAACTACAGCGACATTAGACCTAGCACTGTACTGGGCACACAGTAGGTGCCTAATTGTTGCCAAATGACTGGCAGTTGGATTAACATCACTTAACTCACTCCTAGCCATGCTCAGTTATTGGCCCATTCACACACAAGCCTGGATTATTGAAATCCTACCCCCGACACATTCCACTGGCATCGTGACCCACCACCTCTCAGCAGAGCCCAAGTAATTTGAGGGTTCAGACCCCAGCCTCGTTGTTACTCTCTGAATTTCTTGGACTGATCACCACAAGGCCCAAGACCTGCGTGTCTCAACCAGGGAGACAGAAGTTCCATGCAGCTCCGAAGGCCAGCCTTATAGACCCAGCCACGGCTCAGCGAAGACTCCGGGATATCCCCTCCTAAAGGCCAGCCCAGGATCACAGTTCCGGTGTCGCTGAGGCCACAGGCCCCGGGGCGCCGGGAGGCAGCCTAAGGAGGAAGGTCTGCAAGGAGCCGGGCCGTGGGAAGCCGGCCTTCTCCCTGAGCAGCCTCCAGGTGCCACCCTCGATGGCATAGAGCAGCGTGAACATGCGGTTGACCGTATAGACTGTGTCGCCGCGCACCACCGCCGTGAAGAGCGCTCCCTTGCTGTTGACAAACTGGCCAGGCAGTGCCGTCCACTGGCCCGTGGCCAGGTTCAGGCAGTCGATGGCGCAGTGCAGGAAGTCGTCTTTAGGTCCGTTGCGCACCACGTAGAGACTGTCGCGGTGGGCCACCATGCAGTGGCCGTAGCTCTGCGGACGCCGCAGCTCGGCCACCGGCAGCCACGCGTCCGCCCGCGCAGCGTACTCCACCACCGCCGTGGTGTCGGCCGGCCGCCACAGACACACGAAGAGGCGGCCACGCGCCTGGGCGCAGGGCACGCCGGCGGCCGGCTGCGGCAGGTCAGCCACGAAGCTCCAGCAGCCCGCGGCCGGGTCGTAGCGCTCCACAGAGCTCATGGGCGTCCTCTGGAACTCGCCGCCGATGGCATAGAGGCGGCCATCGAAGCCGGCCAGCGCCGTGTCGTAGCGCGGCTGGTGCGGGCTGGGGAACCGGCGCCACGTGCCGCCGGCCGGGTCGTAGCAGAAGCCCAGCTCCACCACCTCCTTGCTGGCGCCCCGCACGCCGCCCACGATGTACAGCTTGTTGCCCAGCGTGGCCACGCCCGCCAGCAGCGTGCTGGCCTCCAGGGGCAGCGCGGCCAGCGTGCGCCACGCGTCCTCCTCCTCGTCCAGGTAGCACACCGTGCGCGACGCGTCCTCCAGGAAGCCGGGCGCCGGCGTGTGCGTGCTCACGGCCACGTAGCTGCTGGGCCGCAGCGCCGCCACGTAGGCGCGGGCCTCGGGCAGCGCCAGCTCGGCCGCCAGCTCGCGCCCGCCGTCGCGGATGAGGAGCGCGGCGCTGCGGAGCACGTCGTGCAGGCCGAAGGCCGCGGCCGCGTCGCACAGCAGCGCGCAGTTGTCCGACGTGAGGCTGTGCTCCAGGAAGCGCGCCAGCGCGGGCGCCTGCAGGAAGGCGGCGCACTCCACGGCCTGCAGCAGCTCTTCGTCGGCCGCCAGCGCCGGCCGCTCGCCGCGCAGCACCTGCAGCGTGGTGTGGAAGCCGCCAGCGCTGAGCGCGCCCAGGCGCACCTCGGCCGCGCGCGTCTCTCGCATGCCGGAGCGGAAGAGACCGCGGAAGAAGCCGCAGTGCTCCACCAGCAGGGCCCGGTCCGCCTGGAAGAGCTGGCCGCCCACCCACACCTGCACCGGGGGGACCTCTGGGGCCCGTGGCATGGCGAGCCGGAAGGGCGGGGGCCGCCGCGGGGGGCCTCGATTCAGCGGCCACCGCCTCTGGGGCTCCCCCGGAACGGAAAAAACTTCCAGGGGGATATAAATATCTCCCTGGCTAAAGATAGTACGGCTCATGTGACGTGGTGGCCGGCAGGCTGGATGGCTGTGAGCCTGCGGGCGTCGGGAGACCTGCAGGGTCACTCGCTTCCGATGGGAAATAGTAACAATAGTGACTACATACGTATTGAGTACCTATTGCATGCGGGGCACTGTGAGCGCTGCTTACAAAGATTCCACCGTTTAACCCGCACGAAAGCGGCTCTGTGTTCTTGTACAAGTGCCCTAACTCTGACCTTGTTTCCTCAGAATGTGACCAATAATAACACCTCTCTCATGGTATTGGGACAATAGCCATAAAGTGTTTGAATTGAGAAATTGCATGACTTGTGCAAGGTCATTCAGCTGGGAAGAAGCAAGGACAGGATTCATACCTACCCACCCCATTGATTGGTGGGGGGCCGAGGTACTTGGGCACTAGAGGGAGAGGTAGAGCAAGATAGAGTGGACCAGGCTGACATCTGGAGCAGGTTCTAAAGATTTTATTTACTTATTTATTTATTCATTTATTTATTTATTTATTTATTCATTCATTCATTCATTCATTCATTCATTTATTTATTTATTTATGATGTATGTATTTAAGGGAGAAAGAGAGTGCACGCGAGCGCTTGGGAATGGCAGCTCAAGCAGATTGGCTCTGAGGTCGGAGACCAAAGCGGGACTCAATGTCATGACCCTGAGATCATGACCTGCAGGAGCCAAAATCAAGGGTCCGCATTTTAACCAACTGAGCCACCCAGGCGCCCCATGGAACAGGTTCTAATTTAGCTTGAACCTGTGACCCTGACTCTGAGCTAGTTCAATCTCCTTTTCAGCCTTGATTTCCTTCTCTGTAGAAATGGGAGGGTAGCAGGTGAGCGTCCAATAAACCTCTCAATGTGAAGTACTCCTTGACTTGGTTTGGGAATAGGAAGCTGATGTCTACTCCCCACTCATCCATCCATTGCTGTTTTCTGGACCTTGGGAAAAGGTAAGTGGGGCTGCTGAGGGGATCATATGTCTATAGATGGGAAGGGGAAGGGCTTCTTGAAATAATAGTTAACACTGAACTTGCACTGTGTGTCAGACACTTTTGTAAGCACTTTGACTCCTACAGTCCTTGCAATAATCCTATGAATAGATACTATCATTTTGCTTCATTTACTACATAGTTACCCATGTATTGCTTACAGAAACTATGAGTTTCTATTTCATGGCTGCAGAGACTGAGGAAGGCACCAAGAGTTTAGTCACACGCCCAAAGTCCCATGGCCAGAGAGCGGCAGAGCCCGGACTGGCTTGTAGCCAGTCTGACTATAGAGCATGTGGCCCTAACCAGCGTGCTCTGCTGCCTGTCTGTGCTACAAACGCTGGGTATTCAGCTCTTGCCAGGAGGTCACAACTGGAAGGAACTTCAGGCTCATATGGTTTAACCCCTTCATGTACAGTGGAGGACCAAAAAGGGAATTGCTCAGGGTCATGTAGCATGAGGCAGACAGCCCCAGGCCTCCTGCTGCCCACCCCAGGGCATTTTCCCTACTGCAAAGAACTTTCCTGGGTGACCAGCTAAGACTTTGGTTTCCAAAATGTCAGGTGGAAGAGAGCTTAGTGATTATTTTCTCCTGCCACGTTATTGTACAGGCGGGGAAACTGAGGCCTAGACCCATGTAGGATTGTATCTGCCATTCAGGACATGTTCAACTACAGGCTTTCTTCAGGAGGATGCAGTGGCTTCCAATGACAGAGCCAGAGTTGGGAGGGGGCAGGAGAACTTCTCTCACCCCTAGGACACACACACATGCACAGATCCTCGCATATGAATCTGCAGACCCAACACAAATGTGCCTCTTCTGCCAGGAACTCCCACCCAGTTCACTCCATCAAAGCAGGGCTGGGATATGGGGACCACTTGCATGAGCCTGCGAAGCCAAAGGCCTGGAGGAGGCAGCTAGAAATATCCGGGACACTCTGCCCCAGGGACTAGACAGGAAGAGTAGGAGGAGATAGAGGGGGTGGGCAGGAGTCCTCACAAATGCTATCCCAGGCCCTCTACCAGACTCTCTCCTTCCCTGAGGCCAGACATTGGCCGAAAGCATGACAGTCCCTGTCTTGGAGGTCAGTGGACTCTGCGGTGCCCAGTCCTGATTCTGTCCTTGCTGGTGGCCCCAAGGGTAGGGAGAAAGTGTCTGACTGTTCCCATTTCACAGGTGAGGAAAAGGAGGCCCACAGAGGGCATGGACTTTTCCCTGTTATGAACAAAGATGTGGGACTGGATTGAACCATGTCTGCTGCCCAGCCCAGTACTAGCCTTTTCTTAGGGCAGGGAAACAGCTGCCTCCTGCCAGGCCCAAGCCAAGGAACAGGGTTGGGGAGGGGCTGACCCCCAGGGGAACAGTTTCCTCCCAAATGGTCTGTTCCAGGCACCTGGTAACTGGCAGATAACAACAGATAGAACCACTGCCTGGTCCTCTCCTGAGAGGAGTGGAAGGAGAGCAACTCTTCCCAGCTAAAGCTGGCTCCCAGTGCCAATTTTTCACAAGTCCAGCACTGGCTTCAGTGGGTTGGGACACTGTGCACACCCCCAGCTCCAACCCCTCAGCAGCCAGGCACTGGGGAGGGGGCCACCCAAGGTGGGGGTTCATGGTTCTAAGGCTGGGATGAGGACCAGCCCTTTGGCCCTGCTCCCAAGGCCCCAGTGGGGTGTCATCTGCAGCTGGTGAGAGTTTCCTCTGCCCAGACAGTGAGCGTCCCTCTGGGACTTGGAGAGAACAAGGAACTATCCTGGCTGTGGGCAGCCCATGGAGTTCCCAGGCTCTGCCCGACCTCACACCAACCTCCCTTTCCCCACGTTGCGCCCCCATACCTTGCGAGGTTCAGGGTGGGAGCAAGGAAAGTGGGACTGTGTCTGTATCAGACTCTGAGCCTTTCTAGAGCGCATACCCAGCTTTGTTCGTCTCTCTATCCACAGTGATTGGCACACAGTAAGGGGTCTGTTAAGTGGACTCCTGGGCTCTAACCTAAGTGGGAGTCCCCAGTGTGATGGAGGAGACACAAGCCCTGTCCCAAAAGAGCCTGCAGTCTGATAAAGGAGACATAGCCCCGAGATGCCCCGAGCCTGATGGTGGACCCCTGGCCTTGCCACCCATGACAGTGCTTCTGCACACAGCATGGTGAGGAGCTTGCCTGGGCCCAAGGAAGAGCACTGGACTAGGAGTCAGGATTCCTGCTGGGCTCTAATGCTGGTACTACCACTGACTTGCAAAAGCTACCCAACCTCTCCAGACCTCAGTTCTTCATCTGTAAAGTGGAGCTTGCAGCTGACTCTTAAGGTTCTGTTCAGCTCTGAAACCTGAATTTGTCACTGAACAGCCACAGAAGTGTTTGTCATATTGTGCCTCCAGGGAATGCAGTGACATCATCACAAAGGGCTCCCCAAAGCTTAGCTTTATGTGGAAGTGGCTCTGGGGGGGCGGGCGGGGTGGCAAGGGTAGGATCTGGCATCTGAAAATCTTCACAGGCCCCTACCTGTTTAGACCTGTACACACCCCACTCATTGACTTCAGACACATCTTTTGAACATCTCCTCGTTCACTGCTGGGCCAGGTGCCACACCCTCTTCATTTTGATTACCTCAGAGCCCCTTATAAGAGCCTTGAAGATTGGGGGTAGGGGATAAGGAGGGTTGGCCTACTTGCCCTTGCAGAATGACCTCTCTGTTGACCTTCAGTGTCCAAACTACTGGTTGCTAAACAATTGTGGCTTCTTGGTAGATGGGTGAGAAGTATGCGCTGTTCACGTCCAGGGGGTATGGAGGTGAGAAGTATGCGCTGTTCACATCCGGGGGGAGTGGAGGTGAGAAGTATGCACTGTTCACGTCCAGGGGGAGCGGAGGTGAGAAGTATGCGCTGTTCACATCCGGGGGGAGTGGAGGTGAGAAGTATGCGCTGTTCACGTCCAGGGGGTGTGGAGGTGAGAAGTATGCGCTGTTCACGTCCAGGAGGAGTGGAGGTGAGAAGTATGTGCTGTTCACGTCCAGGAGGAGCGGAGGTGAGAAGTATGTGCTGTTCACGTCCAGGAGGAGCGGAGGTGAGAAGTATGTGCTGTTCACGTCCAGGGGGAGTGGAGGAAACTATCTTTTGCTTTTTTGGGCCACGGACCAAACTCTGGGTGGGACACTTTCATATCTTCTCTTCTAACCCTTAATATTATCCCTATTCTAAAGATGAGGAACTGAGGCCCAGAAGAGCAAAGTAGCTTATTCCATGGTCTGACAATAAGTAGCTGTTTCCAAAGGTCTTTCGGGTCCACAACGGGCACTTCCGGGTGGACAGGCAACCCAGATGAGGAGACTGAGGATGGGGAAAGGGACTGGTTGCAGTTGTGAGGTTGGCACTGTTTTCCTCCCAAGCCTCATAGGAGGGGCAGACTTTGGATACTTAGCCGTCAAGGCTGAGGGCCTGAGTAACCAGCTGGCAACTAGTTTGAATCTCTGACCTAGACGAGAGTTATGGGTCACATCATCCCTTCCTGCAAGTCATGATGGAGTTTCCTTACAACACCTCCTTGAAGTGGCCACCCCCTTGGTTGCCTTCAGTGTTGGGAGGCTCACTTCCTCTAAAACAGTCCCTTGTAACTAGGGACAGCTCAGATGGTTCACACCAAGCTCAAATCTACCTCCTTGCAGTGCCCATCTACTGGTTGGTCTGAGTTTTAAAGTTTTAAAGCCTCACACAAGCAGGGCCATAACAGAGCCCAAGTTTATACCCAGTTGGGCCTACGGAGCTCCACAGTTTACCCTCTCTCCAGGAATTCTCTGATGAGATTGGTCCTCTCCCGATAAACCCCATTCAGAACCAGTCTGTCCTCACAAGACTGGGGCCAGCCCACGAAGGTGGCTGGAACTTGACTCCCACTTTTTTCCCACCTACAACTCAAAGGAAAACCCTTGGGCATTAGCTCTGTGAGTGATTCTGGCCTGAGGGTGTAATCTAAACAAAATTTTCCCAACACTTTACAGTCTTAATAACACA